TTGAACTGGCTGAGCAAGAAGCTGCTGACTGTGTGTCTGGGAACCAGTTTGGAGGCTGTTTGCTCCCCTGGCATCCTGGTTTTGTCCATCATCCTCTACTGCAAACCAGCTCTGCAGAAGTGGCTTGCACGCTACCTGCACTCTACTAAGATAGTTGAAATAAAGTTGTTTATAGTGTTATCACTTATGTGATAATACATATATTAATATATAATTGTAAGATAAAATATACAGAGGCAAATAAAATGTAATCCAGCATCAGTAGAATGCAGGCAGAATGCAAACCACTAAAATTGGTAGAATAGCAAATGCTTTAAAAAACTCTATGTAAACTTATTTAGGATTCAGATGAGGATCATTCTACTCAGCTTAGGGGCAAAACATTTAAATAAAAAAAAAAGAAAGAAAAAGCATTTTTCACACATATTTTAATCCTGGATTAATTATTTTAGACATTTGCCATATTAATTAAAGCAGAATTGCTTCTTTCTTAAGTTCTTTATCTACTTTCTTTGAGTAAAGCTATTTAATACTGGAGATCGTGGAAAACATTTGTTCATGATTATCCAGACATACAGTCAAACAAGACTGAAACAAGAGCAGCATGCAAAAATGTATTTAAGGACTATCATCCCAAAATGCTGCTAAAAGCTATTAACCAGTACGTGTTAATTGCCAGAGCATTCATATTAATTTTCACTTCGGGCCCAACATTGTGGAATATTTCCCCTGATACATTTTAAACAAAGTTTAATTTAAGGAACTGCTTCTATCAACACTTATGAAAATTAACAGCCAAGCAATTAGCACTCAGGAATTAGCCCTTCCCCCATGCTTCCTACAGCATCATTTTTAAAACAGTTGCTACAAGAGAAATTGTTGGGTTTTAACCCATTACCAGAATTAACCACAAGAAATCTTCTAACACCATACAGCAGTAGCATTCCTCACAAAAGGATTTTCAGCATCTGCCCAGCCAAAGATCATGCTGAGCTATTTTTGTTTAAACTGTCTCCAGTAGTTAACTCACAGACCCCTTTAAGGTCAGAAAAGGCAGACTTCCTTAAATCTGCATTTTCAACTAGCAGTCATGAAAATAGAGAGAAAAACATTCCAGGTCTGTGTGTAGGAAAGGTTTCGGTTTTCTAACTCAAGTTTACTCTAGAGCTGAATGATCCTTTCTTTACATTTTGACTGTAGTTTTTCAACTTCCTTCTTTGACTATTTTGCACCTCTTTTTTGACTGTCCTGGAACACTTCTCTGTCTACCAACATCCTGCTGGGGATGTCCAAGCATCCATTTGGTAGCAAACATCTCAAAAACTGGATTGACAAGACATTTTAGGGATTAAATTTTCTTAAAAGAAGCAGAGACTTGGAAGAAAAATGGATGTGGGTTGGCTTCAGAGATTATTTCAAGGGGAACTGTAAAATAGAGGCCTTAGCAGGAGTTACGCATTCAGTACATGGTTCCTACAAAACTGAACATTTGATCCTAGCGTGATTTTTTTCCTCTTCCAGTAACTAAATACAGCTTGGTAACCTTTTTCTTACTAGTGGAAATGGTCATGTAGTTGAATAGTCCTGACACTAATACTGTACTAAATCAGGATCCTTTAAGAATAGCATCTCAGAGCAAACTCATTGCTACACTTTCCAGGAACTCGTGCAAGTTACACTTGTGATTTGAAAAGAAATAGTCTGGATGTCTAGAGAATGAAAAGATAACACATGCTTTTAAAGCAATTAATGAAAGCAGGTAGGTAATGTGTAGGGAAGCTAATGTTGTGAATCTCACAGCTGCGTCACTGAAATGAGCCATTACAACACTCCAGTGTTTCAGTTGCAGTATCTGGCTATGACTTTTCAATCTATGCTGTGGTCAGTCTTATCTTCCCAACCTTATTAAAAGTCAGTGAGCTGGAACAATCAAAGCCATCAAAGTCTGATTTTCCAAATTCTATAAACAGAGATATAGATTTATCCATAAAATGGATGATAATTTAATCTGTGTGCAGATAAAGAAAATCCTACTCTTAAATCTGACTCTGACTTCTTAAGCCTTCAAGTAATTATACACATGAAAAAGTAATTAAAAATAACTAAAGGCTTCCTTTCATACAATATTCTTAGGAAGAATTTTCAGGATTCATTAACCAAGGTGTACAACCCACACATTGCACAAACCACACAAACAGATGCAGGGGTTTGGTTTACTTTAACTGTTCTAAGGAAAATCTCGAAGGTAAAACCAAGAGTAGATACTCTGTGTGTGTGTGCCTTTTGTTAAAAGCTGAGTTTACCATGTACATGGAAGCCACAGACTCATCTTGTGTAGTTGTGGAGCAAGAATTGCCTGAATTCTTGAGCTGATTCGAATGCTTCCAGTTGCATTTCACAAGGCGTATTCTCTACTATTTTGATAATTAATGAACTGATCAGAAGAAGAAGAAATTAGAGTGCTTTAAAATTTTATTATTTCATAAAATTTGAGAAGGGCTTATGAAAAAGACAGTCTGTCTGGCAGAAAACACCTGCAAGATGTAAGCATATTAACAAATGGGCTTGGTTGATATTAGAGCATGCAGTGTTTTCTTATTTTTAACCGATTAGCTGAAACAATACATCAAATGTTGGAGGGAGGAGGGGAGGCCCCTGAAGAGAATGGTTTTATTTGATTTCAGGTCTGTTAGGGAGCTGAATTAGTGGTAAGTTAAAACAATTCAGAATGCAGTTGAGTGCACACATGAACAAAGAGCTTCAACATGGCAAGTAGAAAGCTCTCCTCATGCTTTGCCAGTGCTCCACAAAAGGGGTGTTACTCAAGCTGAAATCTGCCTTACAACCCCCAAATATACATATATAAACCAAAAGCCTAGTTATAATCTTAAAGATTTCAGGGCCACTGTGATCCCTTGAGTAAATACATAATTAAGTAGGGGTTTTTTTTTAAGACATGTTTAATTAGGCCCCTAGCCCCTCCTCATCCCCCCTGCCTCTCCCCAATTATGTACCATTTCCCCAAGAGATATGTGGCTCTGTTAATTATGTAAATAAGTCATGCACTATTCCCTGAAAGAATTGTATTTATGTGAAAAATACTACTCATCTATTATCAATAAAAATAAATGAGACCTGTGATATTTCATTAAAAACACTTTTTAAAAGCTAGATGGTTTTTGAATTTACATTACTGTCTGAAAATACAACAAAACTGAAGTAAAATAACTCACTACTGAACTATAATGTTTCTTCTATCTCTCAGATGGTCCAGTAGGTATTTAAAATAGACAACATATGCAGAGAGAATAAATTCTGTAAGGATATTATTGACACACTTACCAGAGTTATATAAATGATGCTGTTAATATAGTGAGACTAGACTCTAACAAAATGATAATGTAATTATTCTCAAGAGTTCAAAAGGTATTCTGATTTCTAGCTCACAATCAACTTGATTCATATCATACCCTACAAATCACAATTGAGCACCAGTCAGGTATTTCATTATCATCTCAAACTAATACACATAGTACACGTCTTCAAATGGACCAAACACCTGCTAAATGTATCTGAGCTTAAAATATGAAAATTAAGATGTTGATTACAGTCATCTATAATTCCTATAAATACAGTAAAAAGTACTTTGGATCATCAAAGTGGGAAGAAATCATGCTTAAGTTCCTCAGTTTTCTGAGGAAGTCTATGAGGTAGCCCAAATCATGCTCAAGTATTAAAACAAGACTGGGACACCACTGAATTACAGTAGAGTTCTCTTAATAAAGTAGTATTTTACCTTCACTTCCTCTGTTGGAAGTACATTTAAATGTTTGCCAAACTGAAATGATGTAACAACAGCAAGCTGAGTTTAGAACAAAGGCATCTTAGACTTGTAACCATTAAAATACCTCTAAGTGAGTTAGGGCTAATTCCTACATGCTAGTAAGTATAAAATAACAAAAGTCCATTTTGCTACGTGGGCTTCATAGTCTAAAAGTTATTATTTCACAAACCCTCTGACTACTTCTAGACATGTTAGTGGAATTACATATCTGAGTTTCCACTTCAAGCATACTTAACAGAACATGAAATTCTTCCATCACAATGGTAATGAAGCTCAAACTTCACACTCCCACGGGAGATTCCACAGACAAATCCAGCAGAAAACGTATCAGTGTAGTATTTATAATTGTTTTGGAACACTGACACTGATACATCACACCCATGTTTATTATTTCTGTTTCCAGAGTTTATGGCAGAGAAAAATATTTGACAACAAAGAGGAAGTAAACTGCACACAAGGAGAGACAGTTACCTACAGCTCTGAGGCACACCAAATGCAAACTCTTCAAAGGAATGCAGTCAAGGAATGAATTTGACCTACCAGGTTTTGGTGAACCTCCTCTCCATGTATGACAGAACTGAGTACTTGAGCAGAACATTTAGTAGCAGAACATTTCTTGCCCCAGATATTAACCTAATGATGTTTCAGCTTTACACCCTCAAAACAGACAGTGGCTCTTCCCACAGTCACTGGAGCATTTTGAGGATAAAGACAGCATAAACCACGGAATATTTAGCAAGTGTTGTTATGTACCCAGATAGAATAGATATTTTGTTTTAAATGCCAAATAACCAATCACTTATACAAAGGGTCTCACCATCAGCTCTGTAGAGAGATGTAGCCTAGGATTCTGCCACGCTAAACATTTACCTAACTAACCAGCTGGAGAAGAAAACAGCAAGGTAAGGTATGCCTGAAGGTAACACCATCATTTTGTAATGAAAATAGGAGAGTGTTCTACCAAACCTGGACACACAGTATTTCAGACTAAAAGAAACATGTTTCTAGATGTCTGCTTTAAAATAACTGATGGCCTACTATAAAGTCTACTTAAAGCTTGAACAAGTAAACGCACATGATAAGTAACTGCCTAAAGCCTACCATCTTCAGATCAGGAAACTCCTGGATATGAGAGAAAACCATTTGGTCCACCTACCTTGCCGTCAAACTTTGAGTACTCGTTGAAGGGGTTATTCAGCTGCAGCGGACACTGCTCCAGTCGCACAGACAGGATTGACTGCTTCCCAGAACACGGAGATTTCACTCGGAAATTCTTTTTCTCAAATAGCGAGCTCAGCTCCTCTGCTGTAGGTCAGAAAAGAGATCAGGGTAGTTGTGCTAAGAGATGTACAGAGGCTACTGTTTACCACTGAAAGATAACGTTATAAGAGGGAGAACAAAATCAAGTATATAAACTTCCATTTCTAAATTAACAGTAAATGCTGTGCCAAAGAACTGCTGATACACCTATAATAGGCCACGTAGAAGCATTTCCAACAGAGCTTGGAATCATGCTATGTTGCAGGACAACACTATACTACCCCATTACCGCATCATGTGCTGTCAGCAGTAGGCTTGGGACTACACCTGAACTAAAAGATTTTTCTGTCATGGTAGACTGGATTTGGTCTCCTCACACAAAACCCCTCAAACCTGAAAACACTGTTCAGACAAATAGCCTGGATAATCAAAACCAAGCAAATTGCTAAAGCCAAAGGTGCTAAAGGCAAGTTCTTTGTGTGTCCTTGGAAGGCTCATAAAAACTCTGACAAACAGATTTTTTTATATGAAGAGCTGAATTTCCAACAAAAGTTAAAAAAAAATTAAAAAATAGGGCTTCTTATAAGGACACTACAAAATCAGGACAGGGCCCAGGGTGTTTTTGCATATTAGTACTGATGGGTCTCATCTGCAAGAAGCCATGACTGAATCTGGACAAGGATTTTCCACATCTGCTCTAGGAGCCAGGTATCCCCAAACTCCATCAATCACTGCCTGAGAACCAACAGCACCAACACCAGCTCTCCTAGGCCAACTCTGCTCTGTGTTCCTCCATTTGGATTCTCTCGCATCTCCGAGATTTACACATTGCTCCTCCAGGGAAAGGAAACCTGCAGGGAGTCGGTTAATTTCTTAAAAGATGAAATAAAAACTTGACAAATTATAACTAGTCAAAAGCAGAATTTAATTTTATCAAGCAGATTGCCTGAAAACTCAGACAGTTGGCAAAAGTGCTAAACAGTGGCACTAGGAGATACGCAACCGTCTTGTGAGAGGCTGTGATGAAGCAAAAGAGCTTGATTAAATCTCTTTTAAATGTGGCAACTTAAACTCCATGAGGTATTCGGTTTTTTTGTAACAAGCTTATCTCCGTGTAAAAAATAAAACCCCAATCTCGGTTACAGTTATGCTAGGGTATTACCCATCACTGGTATTTCTTGAGCCTTTGGGAAGTACTCTGAACCTTGGAATGCAATATAACTGTTTTATTGGTTCAAGTGAAAAAGCAAGTATTCTAGCTTCACCTTTTGTCTCTAGGGAAATGTTAAGATGATTTGTCTATTGCTTCCTTTGTTGGGATGTACAAAAAGAGGATCTCAAGAATTCTTCTGATTTTTCTGTGTGATATCTGCTTTGCTTTGAGCATTGCACAGCTTTTACTCAAATCAAATCTCTCACACGACTGGAGAGTTTCAGTACAGTACATTCGGGTGCCTGACTGCAGTTTTCCTTTTCTAGAAACCTTCATAATTTCAAAAATCAACTCATTTAGGAAAAAACACCCAAAACCTTCTAAAGATGTGTGTAAAACCCCAGAAGATAGGCAAGGCTTCTGAAGAACTACCATCTTACACTGAACATTTTGTCAGTTAATTCCTAACAGACTTGGGCTGCAAGAATTCCAATTACAACACTGAAAAAAACCCACATTTTAAGTTCTCAAATTTCAGGGGAAAAAAAAGGATCATATTTTTGTATTAAACTGCTTTAATTGCATAATTTTTAATTCTTAATTAAAACTAAGTTTTGCCATGAGTCTACATGATATGCATTTTTCAGCTTCTGTGGCTCTGTTAGCTATATTCAGCTGTGTGGGCTGAATGCAAGGCTTTTGAAAGATTCCCTTGATATATAATTTACATTTTATATGCTCTGAAATGAATGAATGTAAGATGTAAATACAATGCCTTATTTCTTGCTTTTACCTAAAAATACCTAGTATTTAATAAAAAGGATAACCTTCTGTACATATATCCCTATTTGGTTTATAGGACCCACAGGCTGTTATCACAAACAGAATTTGATCTCTACGCTGCATGAGACTGAAACATTCATTTTACTGATAAAGAACTGATGCATAGGAAGGTGATGTGAATTGGTGGCACCACAGAACAAAACCAACCAGACCTCCACTTCCAGTCAGTCAGCTACCCCTGAAGCACCTCTGTGTTTGCTAAACCTCTACCTAACCTCCAAATGCAGAGATTTCCTTTTTCAAGTCTTTACACTACTCCCATCTTATCTCTCAACTCATTCCTGACAAAGCAAACAGCTTGACTCATGACAGCAGGGAAACAGATGATGAGCAGAAAATATTCTTTCCCCCCCTCATTACCATACACAAAATTACTTGTCTCTCACTTCCCTTTATCCTGGTTGGTGTACCTTTATTTCTGTACATAGCAATTAAAATTGGAAATCACAAATACAAAATTGCCAGATGCCTCAAATTGCAACTACAGATCCAACTGCAGGACAGCAGAGATGCTTAGAAGAGATTCTCTCTACAGCAAGGCATCTCTCTGAGGAGTGAGTGATCACTGGAGGTGGTGTCACCAGACTCTAACAAAAGGACAAACCAACAACTTTTCAGAACCGTTGCAGTTTGCATGGGTTCAGTCATAGGCTCGACTTTGTCTAAAGCTCAGTCAGAAGAGGGCAGCCAAATTCCCCCCATCTGAGAGCAGCTATTTCTGTTGCTATTGCTCTTGTATGTATTTGCCAATAATGCTGAACCCGAGAAACAGAACAAAGCCTCATACACACACATTGACAAGGAGGAGGACACAGTGGATATCCTCCAAGGTTCCTTTCTTTCCCGGCCTCTTCCTACTGTGGTGTTCCTCATGTAAATAAGTGAGAAACGTGCAGAATCTCAGTGACTGAGCAGAGAAAGAAAACCAGCTCTGCCAACAGACAGCGAGTGCCTGGAGTTTCCACATAACTTACTTATTTCTTTATTCAAATTTCCTCTGCAGCAGGGAGCACATTCCTACAGAGGGGGACACCTCCATTACTGCTGGCTGACAGATTATGTCTATCTTCAGGGCAGCACATAAAAGGAACTAAATGTTGTGGTGGAGCCCACATGAATAAGATGACACAAGCAGCATAGACACAGCGGGGGACTGGAGTCTGAGTGCAATTCAGTGTAAAGCAGTATCAAGCAGTATATAGATGGGAATAAAGAGAGAGAATTGCATCATCATTGGTCAAACGCTATAAAATACTGAGCAAAGAGAGTTGGAGGTTATGGTAGATTAACCTTTAAAACCTACAACTCTGCTTACAGAAGTAGAAAGGCAAAAACATTTTAGAATGCATTAACAGAGGTATCAAACAAGCTGAACACTGTCCTCAGGATTAGTGCAACCGTGCTGCTCATGTGAGGAGCTTTGTTCACTCCTCTAAAAAAAGCTATTGTAGAGCTGGAGAAGGTTCTGCAGATGACAGCCAGGAAGATACAGGGATTTAGGCAAAAAAAAGGGAGATTACAAGGAGACCTCATTAAGATACACACAAATTTTACAAGAAGGAGGCATGACAGACCATGTAAAGGTTTGAATGTGTGTCAAATATAACAGGAATAGATACTAGCTTGAGCTATAAAATATGAGAATTGAGACAGATTTTTCATTTCATGTATTACAGTTTAAACTATGCAGGACATTCAGTCAGAAATAGTAATACAATTTAAAAAAGGATAGCATATTTTTGTAAGAAATGAGTGATAACAGTTTTCCCAAGGAAAGGCTAGATAAGGCAAGGCAGCATTTATTACACTTTCATTTAAGTAGATCATATAGATACATTATTTCTGAAGATTAAGATTCCCTTTATCTTGAAAAGTAACCACAAAAATTATCTGTAAGAGTCAACTTCACAAAATTCTTCATCCCATCAAGCACACCAAATGCCACTGGGAACAGCTGGAAAGCCACAGCTTAGGTGGATCCTGCATTCTGAACGCAGACACTTGCCAGTCAGCAAAGGTAAGTCCTGTTCCTTACAGACCTCACAGTAACACCAAGAGCTTTACTACCTCCATTTCTTGCTTACTGAGACAAGAGAAGCCTTAGAAGATAATGATGCTACAAGAAGACAAAACACAAACACTGTATGAATACCTTATATCACAAAAAAATAATGCAGCCACTTGAATTTGTTCAGACCAGCAGACCAGGTTTGAAATGTATTTTCTTTACTTTGCTTTTACTAATAATTCGGAACGCCCTAATGATAGCTGAAAACAAATGAGACCCCTGTGGCACACCACCCCCCTGCAATAAACTATGGGAAACAGGCAACTGGGGCATGGAAGGCAAACACAATAATTAGCATTTCCTCTGCGTTCTGAAAGCTGACATGAAAATTACAAATGGAAAATGTTGTAACCATCGAAAGGAGAAATAAACACAGTAGGAAAATAGGAGGCCTTTTCTTTTTACCTGAATAAGAAGTATTTCTGTCTTTCCACTGAACGTTTTTGCATTTTATTTGATTTTGTCTCTCTTTCCGCAGACGTTCTAGTCTCTGAGCTTGAAAAGAAATATGATAACTATAAGTTTGTCAATGAAAGTTTACTATAAACAAAGACATAATTAACTACCTTTATATGAATAAAGATGTTTTATACTGCATATGTAGGGGGAAAAGTCATAAAATTTTAAAGGTGGCACCCCTGAAAAGCAAATACCAACAAAAACATGAAAATGTTCTTGATTTATAATTGAAATTAGAGGATATAAAACATTAATAGAGATCATAAAGATAGTATTAACATGGAAGAGAATAATAAAATGTGAAAACTTCTGTGATTAATATGACATTTCATTATATAAATCATTAATAACGGTCTTAAAGGAATTTTAATGCACAAATGAACTGAAGTGAATATTACATTACAGGAATAAAATTACTGTTATGAATTACTCTACCCGTTTCAAAAATTAAAGATAAATGAACTCAGACTAGACTATTAAAGTTTTAAATATAAAATCCTTTATCTAAAAATCATGAAAATTATAAAATGTCAAAGCTATATAAATTAGCATAGCTTTTTCTTCAGTGTGCTGAAACAGTTTATAGGTAGTAAAATAAATGATTTGTATCTTCACAACATTAGTCAAATCTTAAAATGAATATAATATTTCTTTATGTATATTTTGTCTCCATTTTCAAAATATGGTTTGGAAAAAAGCCTTAAACAGTTATGAGCTCGAAGAACTCAGACACCAGGGTACCAGGTAATACCTTACATTATGTTTTTGTTAACAGTAAGGTCTCTCTAAGGAAATGGTCCCCTAAACCTGGTAGAAGCTACCCAAGACAACAACCACAAGAAATAACTGATGTTGTGAAGCAGACATTCAAAATAAGCAAGCAGATTAGACTGAAAAGTAGGACTAATAATGTCGATCGCTGAAAGAAACAATTTCCTGGATATATTAGCAATTTTGATGTATTGAGATCATTCATTAACTGAGTTTGTAGAAGAGATTCTAAAATGTTAAATTACTCTGACAATTTCTAGATACAATTTGAGTTCCCTGAGCAATTTCACCAATTAAAAAAGGCTAATAAATATTTTCTATTATTATTCTTTTACATGTACTCTTTGAACCAAATTATGGACACAGACGTGACTCCCTCCCCAGCTGGAAACTGATGAAAAAACCAATACTTTGAGGTTTAACAGCTGTAGCAAGCAGTTTAAGGTACAAACACACACACAGACTTTGATGTTTATTTCCCACTTGAGCCAATGTAAGGTTAATGCCTAAATAACTCTGTGTATCTTACTCCTAATGACATGAGAGAAGTATCCCCACTTGAAAGTTTAGATGTTGGGTAAAACACTGTTGTTGTGTTCTTATTCTGAAAGGAAAAAAGCCAAACAACTTCTTTATTTTTTCCCCTCAATTACTCTAGAAACTGTAGCTCAAAATTACCTCCCAAACCCCTTTCTTCCCAAATGGGCCATCATGAAATAACTGCTAGATTCAAGATTCACATGTAAATCACGTGGATAAATCACATGGATAACGTAGGTAAATCACAATGAATAAAGGACAAAACACAGAATAAGAATCATGCATATTTTAATCCTGTTTGGGTTTTTTTTTGCCTCTTGCCAAACAAACACATTAAAGAGCAGTGACCATCTCCACTAACTCCATCCTATTCTTCTACCTACAGCTGATCACCAGTGACCATTTGCTATGGAACTGTACTACAGCTACTCCAAATTAGATGGAATTATCAGTACCTATTATAAGTCTGAATTATTCAAGGTTCATTTTCATGAGAAGCACGCTAGTTTGAAAGCTGTGTGACAAATGTCACTGACCAAATGTAGTTCTTGTTTCATTAACTATTAGCTAGATGAGCCTTTGTTTCCAGCCATCAGCAATTGGAGACTTTGCTGTTTCCCACATCCCCACCACTCCACACAGACCTGCCTCCACTGCACTGGTTTCACCCTTCAGGATATGGTGGAAAGGAGGTAGTGAGGAGATGGAGCCCAGAGCCAAAACCTGCTTTCCTCCCACCTAGCTCCTACAGAAAAGGAGGAGGAATTCAGAGGCAGACAGCTCCTGCACAAACACAATGGGCAATAATACCCTATCATGTCTTGCCCGGTACCCATCGCTTTCACGACTAATGGGATAACTTTCATATTAGAATGCACATAAAATTCCTTTCCAAATTTGCACACCCCAGTGAGACCACCTAATAACCAATACTTCTGTAGTCTCTGCAGAAGTGTGTTGAGTCATCTACAGTAACACATTATTGCTACAATTTATGAAGACACTATCACTGCAATAATACAAATAATACAAAATGGCATTATAATACAAAAACATTTATATTAAAATAGTGAACTTTCTATTAAATTTATTCCTCTTCCTGTTTTTTTGCAAGGGTTCAGTACTGATCAACTCACATTGTTTGCAGGCTGTTTTCCACCCCACTCCATTTCAAATCAGAGCCTGATTCCCTTGGTAACTGCATTAGGCTCCTGGTGGGACCAGCACAGGCAATAGAACATTGAAGATGCACCAGATGAAAAGAGGCAAAACACTGGCTCCCTAATGGACTGAGTGTCCTAACCATTATTTTAGAATATGCTGCCAAATGGAAACAGAAATTGTTTCAACCCCTAATTTAGATGGAGATTATTCTACCAGCCTACTCACTTGGGGAAATAATCCTTCACAATCATTTTTTGGAGCAATTCTACAAGACTTTAAACTTTGCCCCTCCTTCCCCATAAATTGTGCCATCAATAGAACTAAGCAAGACCTCTATGGCAATGCTAGGCAGCCTGGCACATCAACCTTCTCCCTGTGCCTTACAGTCAGCTGCAGCTATGTATTTGTCTTATTTCCACATCTAACTCTCCATGACAGGGGATCAGTGCCATGTCTTTTCTGGAACTTTTGACAACTTCTTAGTTGTAAAAGGTGTTTCAAGATATCCAACACCATAAAATGCTTTACTTGTTAGGTAGAGCACAGATGTTTTTTCTGAGCTCTAGGTGGTGTTATAATACCTTCAGAAATCATTTGAAATGTATATATACACTGTAACACAGAAAAAAAAAACCCAAAGAGAGATCAGTATTGACCACCCCACACCAACTTTTTCATATATATTTTATATCATAGAACTTTTATTCACAGCATCCCTTGGGTATAAGCACAAGTCTGAATATCCTTCATGTGAAACAACAAATGGGATAGCTTTCTTCCAGTCAAGACAAAGAGCATATTTTGAAACTGGGTACACCCTGAAACTTTCTCATTTGTTAACTCAAATCCAGCTCAGGGTTTTCCCAGAAATAAAATTTCAGAAGACAAAACACAGACAAATCATCAGCTCACAGCAAACTTCATTCCTCCCTTTTATAATAAATAGATTTCATGCCTCACTAGGTAGATTCTTCTCAGGAAACAACCATCCTGTTCAAAAGTTAACATCCCTCCAGACATTAACAATGGAAACATCAAAGCCTCTGTATTTTGGATTTAGACTTGATATCTTTACAGTTTTAAGTTTTTATATATTAAACTGTCTACCTTTGTACAAGAATAAGCAAAACAACAATTAAAACTCAGCTGACAGCACACTAAAGTAACTGAATCATTACATGTCCTTTTATAAAAAGGGTCTTGACATTACAAAAGGAAAAGTCTGACACATACCCAGCTAGTTATGCTCTGATTTGTTCATACAAGCCAGACTAATAGAAACCAAATTTAAAAGGCTAATGTGATCTTGGCTGCAAACATCACTTACCTGTGTTTGATCGTCTTCTGATTCCAAAGTCCCAGCTTGAGGTAATATCGACTGATTGGGAATATACATAGCCCTGAGTCTCACCATTGCTTCCCTGTGTTTCTGAACCACTGTCCCCGTATGCTGACGAGGGATTGAATTTCTCCAGGTCAACATCGTGATCTATCAGGACCATTTCACACATCCCTGTGTCATCACTGGTCACGTGTGACTGCCGAATATGAGCAAGTATAATTGTAGGGTTGTCCAGGAAAGCCATTCTGTCCATCCAACACCAGTCCAACACTTCACTATACTATCTTCTTTCCATCTTGTTTCATGGACATATGTACCTAGAAATATAATACACACAGCATTTTAGGAAAACAATCAACAAAATCTAAACCCTGACTGAGGAAGGTTTGTATTTTGGATGCACAAAACCTCACTCAGCTTTGTACAGTGAATTACTTTAACTCTGCTCCTGTTCATATAAGTTACACTGCATAAAGAATAGTGGTTTTGGAGGACAGCTTGAAACCTGAATCCCAAAGCAACAGAACACAACAGACACCTACAGACAGGTCCCATTACTCTACAACGAAAGGTTGCTGTAAGGCAAAATACTCTAAGTACTACAGAGAGAAGGCCACAGAGAAAATACACACGAGAAACATCTGTCCATTCAAATTCATAAGCTTACAAAACCAGGTTGGGATTTGAATTTCTTTTTCACCCATCATCATAACGTGTTACCGTTCTTCTTCTGCCTCTACATGCCAACTCTCTGATTACTTTATTATGGACCCTCTTTGGGTTTTGTATTTCCAGGAAAAATTCTAAACATAAAGAGGTTAGTATCTCAGAGCAGAATATTGAACATCTGCTGCTGCACAGTGCTTCACGTAGGGTAACTGTTGTAATATAGAAAAAGCTCTATGATCATATACCACACGTCTGAATTCTTAAGCACTTTAACAGCAGTAATTGCCACTTATCTAAAATATTTCATTCAGAGTACTCACGAAGCCTTACAAAATAAAGTAGAGGACAAAAAAAAAAAGACCCAAACCACAAAACCCAAGCCACACTCACACTGTTATCCTGTTTTACTGTAGCTGTGGATTTACAGTTATGTATTAAGCTAATTCAAGCCTGGGCTGCCTCTGAAAGGGGCGACTCTGTGCTCCTGCCTGGCCAGAAGTTCAAAATCCCCACTGCTTTCCTAATCACTTGTGTATCAGAGGAAAAGAGGGCAATATATTAATACCAGCTACAGAACTATATGTGTTAATGTAGCAGTTTGAACACAGGAACAACAAAACCAAGCATTACAGTTGCTGTTCGCAAAACTGCTGCCAGCAAGAATAAAATACTAGAGGAAAAGGAACAATTTTAAATCACACAAAGCCATATCCCATGAAAATCTCATAAAAGCAGCTGGCCTTTTCCTGGCAGATTTTAACAGAAGAAAGTGAATGAAAGCATCTGACAGGCTTGCTCCAGGAAAACACATTTCATAATTTCCCCTGTATAATTCCAAAGGGAAAAGTGTGTTAATGTATACAGCCCCATGAAGCAACTTCTGCACTTAAATAGTTGGAAGCAAAGGTGATACTTTATTTGGACACCCATCTTAACATGAAAACCCCGAAATTTTGAAGGTGTATTGTAAATTGCAAATCCACCATTCCTACCAGTATCCTCCCTACTACCAAGCATCCACTAATTAGAACATTCACTAGATTTACATCCTTCATAATTTAAGGCTTTTTTTTTGCTCCCTTGGCCACAAATATTGCCTTCTTTCTTTTTCACCCCCCGAGAGACTGTACTCTTTATGCTTTAAAAAAAACCAAACAACAAACAGACAAATCCAAAGGTATTAGATTAAACAACAGGCCCAGCAGCAAGAAGGAATTCATTAAAAGAATGGTAAAGGAAAAAACCTGACATGCTGCTTGTTATTAATACACTACACCTCCCATACATTTTAATAAATTATGCCATTAGCTAAACACGTTCCATCAGTATCCTTGGAGATACTCAAAACCCAACTGGATGAGGCCCTGAGCAACGTGCTTGAGCCAGCCCCACTCCGAGTTGGGAGGCAGGACCAGGTCTCCAGAGGTCCCAGTCAACCTCACCGTGCTCCGACTCAAAGTTCTATTTTCTGACTATTTCCATTACAGAAAGTAGGCCTCCTCTCCCCAAAGGATTTCTCATAGTCCTCAATGTGAGAGGCCATAAGGCAAATGTCCTACCACAAGGCAGCCTCTCCTGGCTGTGATTTACGTGTTAAAGGCCTCTAAGCGTGACTAGTATGTGTGATGTAGAGAACACAGTCACAGAAAAGTACACTGTATGGGTAGTTTTAAAAGTGCACTGAGAATGTTCTTTAAATCTAATTCTTTACACAGCACTCATTAGCAAAAGCCATGCTTACCTGCAAGCAGTAAGAACTTGTTTAACTAAGCAACTGCCTCGGGCTTCTAAAAGGTCTGCAAACTCCCAATCAAAAATTACTGCTGCCCCATCAATGTGTCATATAAATGTTGGCATGTTAATTGTGTATTTATAAGATTGTTAATGGTTAGTTAATTTACCTCCCACACTATTATTGTACTTGAAATGATTTAATGTCTGCTAAGGGAGTTAACAACATGTAACAGCAGATGCGAGAATTTTACCTTTATACTCTGCACCCCGACTTCACGCTATTAACAGTCCATGTGCTAAATTAGCCAAGCTTCGTTACAGTTTTACATATGCAATCACTTTTCCCATAAACATGAGCAGTGAGAAAGTTGCAGAAATTCTGCTTCAAACTAAAGTTTAATACAAATACATTTTTTCTTCCCCCTCTTCGTATTTTTCAAAGGACACATTAAAACTGATTTCTCAATAAATGACTGCTAACTGCAATTTCTAGGAACAGCTAACACCCCGCAAAGCCCCCCCAAAAACAGAAGAAAAGTTCAGATTTTTTTCAGTAGTTGTTCCCTACACAGTTCTAACTGGTTCCTCCTTTTAATCAAGGCAAAACACAATTAGATTGTACAACCTGGTCTGCGGAACAGTGACCTCCAATGAAGTAAAAGAATTCAGAGAAGCAAAGCCCAATTTTACAGACCTTTACACAAATATTTGAAGCCTCCATGTCATCAGTTCCAGTAAAATTACAGGTAGGAGATCAGTTTCTAGATCCACTGAGAGGTGTCAGCATTCCGCTGCTTCTGTGGTCCTGGTACCCACGCACTGCTACTGCATCCACAGGTAGCAGCTGAATTTAATGAATTCAGGGATTTCTGAGCCTCAGAAACTCACACATTCCTCAATCACAAACAGAAAATAAATGTTCTTTTAATACTTGCACTACAGAGATATTATTCTACTATTAAATAAAACACTTTGCAGACAGCTGTCAAACATACTCTATGCAAGCACTAAAAATGAAGAGAACAAAGTGAAGCCTATGCAACCATAACGGTATTTATGTATGATGTGATATACAGGTTAGTGTCATGATGGCAAACTAAGGGGAGAGAGCTGAATCAGCCCTTCACTTTCTTTTTTACCTCCTATTATTCACCTGTCTTACTTCCTGCATACTACCTGACCAACACCCTGGGTATGAGCACCCTCTCTCCCCTTTTCCTGGTCTCAGTGCTGTATTGCTGAAGTGCTCCTGTCAACTGTGTGCAGTTACAGAACCTCCTCAAAGGTGTAAAACTGCACCATCAAGAGGCTGAATGACTTGCCAGGTTTTGCAGCAACTTTAGCAAAATCAGACAGCTGGATCTCAGTCTACTATTTTTATCAGAAGTATTCCTCTTCCAGTAACCCACTGCTATATTTATGGCATCTATAGACTCTCGCAGCAAGTGAAGGTAGGTTGTTATGCAGATCAGCCTCATTCATAACGCGGCATACGATAAGTAATGCAGAACGCCCTACAAATTATTCAGCTCCCAGTAGGTGACACAAAGATCTTGGAAAGAGGATATGTAGTTATACAGGCTGTACCTTACACACACGAATGAACACATCTGAAGTTGGGGAGGCAACTTCATCATTACAACATACTAAGTGCTCTTGTGACCTTCCCGCTTGCTTGGCATACTGTATTTATTTAAATATAAGGAAGATTTTCTGACTTTGCTCTTTCCCCCCAAACCCCCATGCATATCCCAAACCCAGTTTGATTCATATTTGCATGTTATTCTACATCAAGTGTAGAAACAAGTGTGAGATAAGGGGAAAGGATCAGCTAAACACACCCCTCTCCTGACTGCCATCCCTCCCATCCATCCTACCAACCCCTGCATACCAGCACAGGCGACAGCAGGCACAGCTGGAAACGCTGGACCACACTGACTTGTGGGACTGTGACTGTGTGTCAACCTGCTCTTACTGCTGTTTTCAGAGGAAAACAATTGACCTTGAGCACGGAAAATGTTGAGTCTGCGGGTTACCTTACTTTTGGGAAAACACAGTTATTTTGGACTGAATTTTTCCGGTTTGTTTTAACAAACACATGGAAATCTGCTCACAGACCTCTAAATAGGCTAGAATAAATGCTAAAACCTGGAGAAAGCTGTTAGCAGCTAAAAATGTTTTGATACAGGAAAGACCTATGACTTTGAAACTCTACCAATTTTAATGGAGTAATTTTAAGAATCCTTCAGTTCAAATAGCTAAAAGCAGCTGTAAATTCCTCCACAAAACTCTTAAGCCAATCCCTGCAAGATTATTTTGCTCTCTAAAATATAAAAGTAAAAAGTGACAAGTGGGAAAAAATTTCCACTCCCCTATTTTGCAAAGCTGTAGGTTTTTGGCAGTTTTGTAAGGATGGAAATATATTTAAATTGGCTTTCCTCCTTGAGGAAGTCATAAACAATTAAAGCCCTATCCAAGGTAAACAAAAATGCTCCAAAACATTCAAGTCCTGGAAGGTACAGCCTGGAGCTAAAACAACTACTAATAATCTCAGAATACACCAGGCTGGAAGAATTGTATAATATTATAGGTCATCTTACTGCTCAAGGGCTTCCTTAGTCACTGGACTTAAACACCTCTCTGACTGAAGCTCTTTAAAGTGATCTTTAAAACCAATGAGAAAAATGGGCAGATTACAATAAAAAATTGATTCTCTCCCCCCACATCATATACACTGGAGCGAACACACTTCACAATTTACGATTCAGGTTATATGAAATAATTTCACAGTTAACTTCTGCCTGCAATTGCAAAAGAAATGGCTCTGGTTATCTATATTTGCAGCAGTACAAATAATCAACTCCTCTGAATGCCAGACAGACTCCTGTGCACGCAGGATAAAGGAAAATGAACCACAATGTATGAAAATTTAAGTTTATGCTTCAACAAAAGCTCAAGTGCATTTAAGAATGAATACTTATCTAGAGAAGGTGTCACTCAAGCTTTGGGTCCTAGCATTAAAAAGGGAATAATCATCTGAAGTCATTTAAAGAGGAGCTCTTTCACAAGTGAAACCGGAATGTGAAAGTTATGCTGAGAAAACACTACATTATATGCAACTTCCCACAAACTATTTGTTACCTTTCAAACCAGTAAATTAATCTGGCATTAGCTATGTAGTTCTCTATTTATCCACTGCTTGGAATTTGGCTACATTTTTTGTTGTTGTACTAATCGGGATGCAAATGATACCAACTCTGCTATTTTAATTATTGAGCTTTAGGGAAGGAGGGAGGTAATACTGGAGTACCTATGGAAGCTGTATGCTCCTCTGTTTGTTTCCTGATCTTGTCAAATCTTCATTTAATTGTAAACAAGTTGATTCTCAGCTAACCTGAGCTATCTTGCATCAAGATTTTAAGCAAATAAATAAGTATAAAAAAAGCAGAAATTATAAATTAGAGCAGACAAATCTGTATCTAGACTCATGCCTGCAAAGAGCATTCTATCAATATAGTGAAATGCTAATCTCCTAATTAACAACCTAATTAGGTAATTATGGCTTTGCAGAGGGATGCCTAAATGAAATATGACAACATGGTCACCTCTTTATATGGCACCTGTGGGCCTTTTCAGCTGTCACTGCAAAGAGTGCAATATCAATTTGAACAGATGACAAAGTGTTGTCATTTTTCATTCTGATATTGTACTGAATGGTTTGGATAGGAGCAGTTTAGAAAAGCGGCATCTTGCCTGGCTTTTGCCTAATCTAAATATGTGCAAACACTTTGCTTAATTTTTAATGTCTATGATTATGCTTATTTTTCCATGCTGGCTAGCAAGCATTCCCTAACACATGCATTACATCTGCAATGTCCTACTGCGCTGACCCACCACACTGGAATCCCTATCACCCCAATTCACAGCATGTATACATCACAGTTTACTATCCAGAAAAAAGATGAGTATTTGAGTTCATTTTTTAAGGCTTAACTTCCAATTTTAAAATAACAAAGCAGAAGAAAGTACCTTTTAAATAACATATCTCAATTTCCATTTCATTTTTACCTCTGATGAACGCTTTTGCAGAAGTGGGGGCAGCAGTTGCTGCCTGTGAGCAGGTGAAGCTGTACTTTTGTTTGCCCAGAAAGCTGGAAAGAAATACTTTCAACTCTGGCACTGCACTTTTACATGGAACCATGATTTTTCACTCATATGCCTAAAATGATTTAAAGACAATTTGCTAGGTTTTAACATTCCAAAGATGAACAAACGAAATACCTACTTGCAAAGAGGAGGATAGAAGCATAGGCTCAGACTGCTCAAATATTAGACTAGAACTTCACATTTGGCTCCTCTTGTGTATTCAAGAACTTAAAAAAAAACCAAACCATAAACTTTACAAACATCTATACAAACTTCAATCTCGAACAAACACAACAGGAAGCTTCAACATTTTACCTTTCTTTTTTGCCTGTATAATATTGAGAGAGATGCTGTGCTGTTTGGGTTTTCCTGGCATTCCTCACCAACCATGTCTACACCACAACTCAAGAGCGAGCCTGGAAGTGCGGCAGTATCCCAAAATTGATTGTATCTCACCTCTACAGCTATGTCAAAGCTGCCTGGATGTGCTGAAGCCAAACTTGACTGAATGGTGTTCAAGCATCTGCAGGCCCCTGGCCTTACAAAGCTTGCTCTGGGTGGACACAGGACAAAGCCTGGAGACTTGCTGCAGCCACAGCCAGCCCACAGGCTTCTGGCACAGCACTGAAGTACCATAGCCAGCCTCACTGCACAGAACTCTGGTATTAAACAGAAGCATAGGCCAAAACAAAGTTCCATATTTGTTTTCTTCAGTTTGTTCCCATTCCACTTCTGACTGCATGAAAGTATTTTTATTGCATAAAAAGGATGATCATCATCTTGTATTTTACAACACAATAGGGTGCAAGCTGCTTCTGACCTCAAAAATGCTCATGGGGGTAACACCAACTTAAAAAACTCCCAAAAGTTCAAGCCCCTTTAGGACTCTATGTCAAATGTAACTGGTCAGATTCACATTTTTTCAACAACAGATTAATCTCCCTTTCCTCTGGCTCTTAATTTTCATCTTGACTAATTTTTGGCCCATCTCCTTGAAGAGCACACAAAACATACTCGAGGAGAATTGTTTTTCTTTCTGAATAAGTGATTTAGACAAATAGTTCTCAAGCAATAGGGAAACAAGGTAGGGATTACCCTTGTGCTGTCCTGTATAAGAAACTGACCTTATAGACAATGAAGAGATGGATACTGCAGTTTAATAAAGCTTCTCAGCAGACACACACATACACATTAGTACTAAAATGCGTCTTGGGGTCTTTGTTAGAGGAACTGTCTAATGGAAAAGCCCTTTCTTGGTCACTTCGGACAAGTGGAGCCCTGCTGCTACCAAAACCTGACATCAAACTCAGTGCATGGCACATCTCAGACATGCGGCAGTACCACAGCCAGGAACCACCACGATACCAGTGACACAGTCAGGCTGTGGTACTGGTGCCCCCACAGCAGTATTCCACGTGCTGCTAATGTCTGCATGGCCGTGGTTCTGCTGCTGTACCCCAATGCTCACAGCCTGTCCCTTCCAGTAACTCAAAGGGAATAACTGAGGATAGCATGAGCTCTCCTTCCCCCTTCCTCAGCCAGTGCCACTGTGCTCTCTCCAAAGTCAAGACAGAGCTGCCAAACAGATCTCCTGATCCGACATAGGACTGTGCAACTTGTGTCCTGCTTATTTGCTGTCCAATTTGTGACTATAACTGACTTTTCAATGCAGGAGTCTGTTTCTCACACTCACAGCTTCGGAAGGTTAGGAAATTTGTGCTACAAAACACTTACAAATCATTCTTCCAACCTGCTTCACCTGCCAAGGCCTTTGCTGATCAAAAGGCCAACCTGTTACTTGTTGCAGCTGGATGAAACAGTTAAACAGATGATGAAAGGGTGTAATGAGAAAGACCTGAAACGTGACTTGAGAAAGAAATGTACTAAACTGGTTCCAGTTCCTATTTCTGTACAGTCTATATGTAGACAATGATCTCATTTTTTTTAATCTAACCCAAAAAAGTGTCCGTGAACAGACCTGCTCTGATCTTGAAAAAATAGATGAGAGAGTTTAATTCCCAACCTTGCATCAACCTGGTAATCCCCTGAAACCTAAACTCACATAGAACATACTTGGAAAATCCAAGCCTGGCTCCAGCACTGCTCATTTAGACAATCACTAAGCTTCCATTACCACTGAAATCAATTTGTTGGGGTGTCTTCCAGGAACCCTTCTTGCTCCTCACTGCCATTCCTGCAGTGAGCACACTAGTTCTGATCACCACCTGCCATGCACGTGAAAAAAAACGAGACCACGAACCAGCAACACATCGAAATGTGACAACACTAAAAGCACCCATCCTGTGAACACCCAAGCAGTCACAGGCTTTAGAAGCAAACGAGAGACTGAGCACTGATGCATGCCATCAGTGAGCCAGGTGAGGCGGCAGCACTGGGCCAGCCTCACATCCCTCTGGCCTCTGAGCAAGTGCAGAGCACTTCCAGTGCAGCCCCTGAATCCAGCACCCCTCTGCCTTCTTTACCATACACCCCGCTCCAGGAGTGGAGCCCCGTGTCCCACTTACCTGTTTTCCCTTTACAACGCGCTGCCAGGTGCTCTGCTGACAGTGCCGCTCGCCCGGCCGCAGCACCTTGCTCCACCGGGGGACGTTAACCCCGCCTCGCTCCGCACCTGAAGCTGCCCCGAACCGCTCGGGCACCGGCTGTGCCTGCCTGCGGAGGCCCAGGAAGCCCCGGGTCCTCGTACCACAGTGGCGTCCCCCCCAGCACTGCAAAGGCTCCCGCGTCCCTGTGACATGTCACCTCATCCCGCAGACTGACCACAGGCTTTTAAACCAAGGAACAAGGGCGGGGTTACAGCACGGGGCGTCACTGCCTCGGTGAACCTCCGGGACGCCTCGGGAGCGGCGCCGGCCCCGCTGCCGGCCGGTACCGGGCAGGCACCCCGCAGGTGGGCCCCGTACCGCCCTATGCCCGCGACGCGCACCGCAGAGCCCCACACTCACAGGCTTCACCCGCCGAGCCGCTCAGCGGGGCCGGGCCGGGCGCCGCCTACCTCCGCCGCCGGCGGGCCGGGACAGCCGCTTCCGGGTCCGGAGGATGCCGCAGACCGGTGAGCGCTGGGCCGCGCCGCGACCCGGAAGCACCGCCTGCGGAAGTGTCCGTTCCCGTCAGGGGCAGGGCCGTGCGTATGCGTGCGTGGGGGCGGGACCCGGCTTCCGGCTGAAGGGCTGCGGGCGCTGCCTTCGCTCTGGCGCGCTCGCGGCGGGTCCCGCGGCCCCTGGGGAGCCGCCGGTTCACGTCGAGCTTAGCCCGTCACTGGGCCCGAGTGTGTGGAGCGAGCCGAGAGCCGAGCTGCCGTGCCTGCCCGCAGGGCCCGGTGCCGCTTTGCGGCCGGGGTTACAGAGCACCGCCGTGAGGCCGTTGTAAACGCCAGTTAAACGCGCACGACCACTAACGAACCGTGGTAGAAACGTTCACAAAGTCTCTCGGAGCTGCATGAGGAGACCCGCGGTGCTCAGCGCTCACTGCGTGGCCAGTTCCACTGCCAGTCTCATTCGGTGACCCTTGCAGGACCTGCCACCGGCCCGGTGGTGGTTTTGTGACTTTAAACCAAACCTTCCACCGAGCACCAGGTACACAGGCAGAAATGGGATATTTTAGACATAGGTCACTTGCAAAGAAAAGTGATTTAATGATACTGACCAAGCTTAGAAGTGTGAGAACCACCTGTTTAAGGCTGGTGTGTCGTCTATCTCCAGTGTCCAGTGTGGGGACAGCGGGTGAGCCCAGCCACCCACTGACCCGTTCTCAAGCCTCTGTGCCATCTGGAACTGCGGATGTCTGCTGCTCCCAGGCTCTCTTTGCTTGCTGTGTCTGTCCACGGCCTGTTGGCCCTTCCCAAGTTCGTTGCCACAGCCATTCTCCACAGCTTCCTAGGGAAGCGCGAGGCAGTCGCCGTTAATTCCTGGGCAAAGTGTGACTCCCAGTCTCTTGAGTAGCTGTGCACATCAGCAAAAGCAGCCTTTAGGAAGAATGATGCTGGAGGGCAGGGAGAAGCAGGACGGAGTGGAACGCAGTGGAGATAACGCATTTGATGCTGCAAAGAGGATAATGAGGGCTGATATCAGAGGCTGAGCGAGGGCAGGGAGCTGAAACTGCTGTAGACACGGCAGACAGCAGGGAGCATGAGGCCAGAACCGGACAGTCAGAAGAGTAGTAATAAAAAAAGATCTTTGGAATAGCATTCTTAATACTGCTGAATAACACCAAGAACACATTTGCTCATACCAGAAAATGGTTCTATGGTCAAGATGGGAGATAGAAATTTAATGAGCATGCTAATTACTCGGAGCGACAGTACCAGCATAGTTACGTTAACCAGAAGTCATCCACCACTGTGAAAGATGAGAGTTGCAACTGGTGTGAGATGATTAAGGGTTCCAAATCAAACCCATGACATCCAAGTTGCAGTCCTGAGTGAAGGTACGATGATGGTGATGTCAGCCGTGATTGAGAGAGGAGGTGAGCGCAAGCCAAGGAGGAAGATTAAGAGCTCTGTGTTAGCCATGTGGAGTGAGAGTTGTCAGCTGTACATCCACAAAATGTCAGAGACGAGGATGAGGATTTAGTTTGGACATGACTTCTTTCAACTGCAACTGTCCATCACAGATCAAGTACGTACAGTGAATTAAATACCAGTCTAATTTCTGCTGTGGCTCTCTAATGCCACACTACAGGTGGTTTTCTCTTCCCTGAGAGGTCTGTTGCCATAGCTTTGTTGCACACTATTTAAAATGTGAAAAAAGTAGATCAGAATTAAAGTCACTTCCCCTACATACTTGCGTGGGGCAGGCGTCCTACGTAAGTTCAGTTTGGGGGTGGCAATGATCTAAAGATAACCCCTTTATAGAATGATGCCTTAATTATCCCTGACACAGATATATATATTTTCCCTTAACGGTTTTGGCAACCTATATGTAATATATTCAAAACTAAAATCTGGTCTCCAAAGAGGCCCCTTTACTGTGCAGTGGGGAGCCCTCTCTGGACACTCCTGCCTCATGACAGGGCTTGTCCGTGAGGAATGCGCTTGGGCACGGCCACACCGACCAGCAGGCCACTTCTGATCGGGGCCTCTCCTTCCCGCACCCGGAAAGCTCAGCACGGTCGAAGCTCCAGGTCCCGGGGCAAGGCCAGCCTCCTGCCGTAACCCGGGCTGGCAGGCGAGGCGGGCCGAGCCCGGAGGCTGCTCCGGATGGGGCCGAGCCCTGCCCGACCCTCCCGGCACGGCAGCGGGGCTGAGGGGAACGGCGAGGCCTCAGCTCGGGAGTTACCATAGCAACGGGAGGGGCGGGGCCGGAGCGGCTCTCGCCCCGGCCACGTGACAGTTCGAACGGTCCAATCAGAAGTTTCTCAGCTGCGGGGCGGGGCCAGACGGGCTCGGTCCCGCCCCATGCACTCTGATTGGCCAGGGCAGTCTCCGGCAACCACCCTCTCGCACTGCGATTGGCCTCTGCTCCCGCCGCTCTCAGACCGATTCCCCCCCCCCCGCCACCCCTCCGGGAGCGCCGCCGCCGCCGCTCGGCCCGGCGGGAGGGCGACCCGGCGGATCCGGACCCGTGAGGCGGGCGGCCCCGGGCGGGGCGGTGGCGGCGGTGGTGGCGGGGCGGCCCCGCCCGGTTGGGAGGGCCGGGGCGGGGCGGTACGGCGGGGCGGGGCGCGGCGGGCCCCGCGTCCCTCTCGCGCGCGGTCGCTCTCCTCCCTCACAGGCGGCACGTCCGCGGTGAGTGAGTGGCGTTGGCGGGCTGTCAATCCTCGCCGCGCGGCCGGCGGCGGGCGGCGGGCCATAAATTCCGGCGGGCCGGTATTTTTGCACATTGCTTCGCAGAGAGTGTGTAATTAATTTTTTTGTTGAATTTTTTTTGTTTTTTCTTTCTTTCTTTTTGTTTTTTTTTTCCACAGTTCTTTCCCCGTTATTTCCGCTCTTTTTTTGCACAAGTTCAAACTTTTGATTGCTGCTGCCTCACCCCCGCTGCACAGACCGGGGACCATTTGTTATTATTTTGTAAGGGGGGAGGGCGATTAATTTTTTTAATTATTACTATTCTTTTTTTCCCCGATTGTGTTTTCTTGGCTTTTTTTATGTTGCAGTTTGGGGGTGGGGGTGTTCGCCTGGTTTGTTGTGGTTTTTGCCGTTTGCCACCCTCCTAACTTCTTCAGGATTTGAAAGCGAGTTTTATTTTTGTTATTTTGGCTTTTATTATTTTTTATTATTTTTAATTTTGCCTTTTTTTTTTTGCAAAGAAGATTTTTGGACAAGTGGGGAAAGACATAAAAAAAAAGCAACAATAAAAATAAAAAAATAAAACCACAAATAGAGCTGTGGAGGAAGATTGTACCAGGAAAACTGCAGAGACACCCCACCAGCTCATCCATCCAAGCCACAGAGATGATGATGATGATGAAGGAAGATTGTAACTAAGGAAGAGAGTGATTTACAGCACCGGGAAGGAGAGGAGAGTGGAATAAACAGCTGAGATCCGGTCAAAACACAAATACTGATTTTTTTTTACTCCTGTTGTTGTTTTGTTTGGCTTTTTCCCCTCTTTCTCCGTCTCGGGGGTGCGCGGGCGCCGAGCGGACCCGGCGCTGCCCCCCCCCCGGCCCGGCCCGCGGGAGCCATGGACGATCAGTCCAGGATGCTGCAGACTCTGGCCGGCGTCAACCTGGCCGGGCACTCGGTGCAGGGGGGCATGGCCCTGCCTCCTCCCCACGGACACGACGGGGCAGACGGCGACGGCAGGAAGCAGGACATCGGCGACATCCTCCATCAGATCATGACCATCACTGACCAAAGCCTGGATGAGGCACAAGCAAAGTTGGTTTCGTCTAATTAAACCTTGCTTTTTTTTCTTTTATTTCTTTTTTCTTTTTTTCCTTTTTTTCATTTTTTTTCTCTTTTTTTTTTTTTTTTGTGTGTGTGTGTGGTTTTTGTTTCTCTCATTCCCGGAGTCTCACAATTAGGAGCAACTTCTTGGCGCCGTAGGAGAAATTGCAAGCAGCCGAGGCAGCGCCAAAGTTGCTATTTAATGAATATTTTAATATATATATTTATATATAAAATAAATATCTAAGTATGCGATGCTTTTGCATATATGTGAGGGAAGCTCTGGCTGATCCCTTGCCCGTTCCCCTTTAGACACCGTGTGGCGGACACCGGCCCTAGAGCCGCTCTGTGTCCGTCTGTCCCTCCCGTCCGCCTGCCGGGCGGCTCCACAACTTTCCCCCTTCTTTCCTTCCTTCCTACCCCAAAGTGGTGGCAGATAAATTAACAAACCTGACAAGATATTGCTGCGGGGAGAGTTGGGGTTGGGGGGGGGGACGGACGGACACCAACAACCCCAAACCTGTTTTAAATCACAATAAATACAAAGAAGGTTAACTCTGCTCCCCCCCCCCATCATGGTTAATAAATCAGTTATAATATCGCAGGACGGATAGTACCGGGGACAAGGGGGGGAGTGATTTATACCCCTCGGCCCAGCGGCATTTACACAAAGATAATTCGGTATAAAAGTCATAAGGGGGGGGAAAGGAGGGAGGGAGAGGCGGCAGCCACCGAACCGGCGCTGCTCACACCTCAGCCCGCCGGCATCCGCGGACCGGCGCCGGGAGCTCCCGCTCGGAGCTCCCGGCGCCGGTCCTTGGATGCTGGCGGGCAGGGAAAAGAGGGGACGAAACACACGGAGCGAGGGGGGATCCTTATCGGGGGAAGGCGCCATGTTGCTAAACCCCGGCTTTTAACCGCTTGTCCTTCTTGCTCTCTTTCAGGAAGCACGCGTTGAACTGCCACAGGATGAAACCCGCCTTGTTCAGCGTCCTCTGCGAGATCAAGGAGAAAACAGGTAAGGGCCGCCCGCGCCGCCGCTGCCGCCGCAGCCATCTTGGTCCCTCTCGCCTTCCACCCGCCGCTACCAGCCGGTGGGGACGGTACCGGCCCTCTGCCGCCTCTCACGCTGCCGGTGCAGGGCCTGAGGTGGACGGGGCGAGGTGAGGGGGGGGGTGTGGATCCGGCCCGCCCCGCCGAGCTGAGGGGGCCCGTCCCGGCGGCGGCCCGGTTGGGTTGGCTTGCTGTGAAATGGCGCGGTGCAGAGTCCCCCCTCACGGCGCTCTCCTCACGGCTCCGGAGGGACCCCGTTAGCACCCGGGCTGTGTTTTTTAGCCGTCAGGACACTTGGCAAAGCGCTTGTCAGACCTGCGTTACCTCATCTGTTTTATTAATTTCTTTTCCCGGGATGCGTAGCACGCAGCGGGGACGATAAAGTTTGTGTGGCGAGAGCAAAGCTGCCCCGGGCAGGCAGGCTCCAGAGAGATCCCCCTGTTTGTGAGGGTGCAGCAAAGCTCCGGTTGCTCCTGGTGATGTTTGAAACGCCAAATATTTAATCTCAAAAGTATACCAAAAATACTTCTTTTCCTCATTACAGTAACACTTAGAAACTCCGGGGTTTTCTTAGAAGCATTTGGTTTTTTTAGCATTTTTTTTTCACGTCACTGAATTTACAGACAATTTTCCTATTTAAGAAGAACATTTGCAAAGTGTTTTGCTTTGTATTATGAGAGTAAGGACATTTATTGTGATCTAGACTTAAATATATGCATTGGCTGGCTTTTTGCTGTATTTGATACTCCAGTCGCATTCCTCTTTAGTTCCACATAAGACCAGACAAAAAAGTGAAATCATTGCAGATCTCAGCTGTGAGAAGCCTGAAGTGCACAGTTCTCAGTGAATTATAGTGCTTTATGTCCAAAGGTTTCTTTGCTACTGGGGATCCACTTCAGTTTCTGCTGACAGCTAAGCACTAGGGTATTGACTGTGTTGTGAATATTAAGATTGATTCTGCTTTATATTGCATTATATTACCCAGGATAAGGGGAATGATCCCCTTCCTGCCCTCCCTCCGCACCTCCCTACGTTTTGCCTTGATCTGCTCCTAGCCCCTTTCCATCCTTCGGCTTGTGTTTGCTTTCTGCCTTTCCCTAAACTTTCTGCCCGTCCTGCTCCGGAGCCAGCCAGGCACCCTGCCCTCGGTGTTCAGACATTTTGCAGCAGGCAGATTTCAGTGAAGGAGGCAGGCGCAGGTCCTGCGATCACTTTATTTGCAGAGGGCTTAGCCTCACTGTTTTGAAAGGAAAGTGTAGTCAACCACATGTCAGAGGTGAGCTGCGAAGAAAAACCCACATCCTTTCAGCAGCAGGGATTAGTGGCACGGGGTGTTCGGTGAGGCCATCGCTGTTCAGGAGGCGAGAGGGAACCTGACAGGAGACGTTGTGATCTGAAACGCGTTGGGGTGTTCTGGTGATAACTTGTAAGCTGGGATCCTGCCTTTGTGCTGCAAGTAGTCGAACCAAGTTTGTAAGCTATGTCTTTTATGAAATCGCTGAGAAGCAACAAAGAGTGAAGGCGTCCGCCTGCCTAAAGGCAAGATCCTGCTAGCCCTGGCAGCACAGGAGAGACAGGATTAATGCACTGAGTGATTGATGATGAATCCACACCCCCACCAAAAACTCTTCCCGCAGGGACCTTTGCTCGGGGTCTCCCAGTTGAGAGGAAATGTCTCTGTAGGCTTTAGTAGTCAGTGTGCTCAAGCAAAGAAAATGTGAAAATAAATTCTAGCATATTTTCTGTAAGCCGTTTTCATAGGAAAGGGCTCAAACAATTCTGAACTGGAGGGGTGAATGGTCTGAGATGCAATTGAAGCAGAGGTGTGTCCCCCCCCCCTCCTTGGCAGTCTGCATTGTCTTGTGGCCCGAGTACTTAAATCATCTGCAACTGGGTCATGCAATGGTATTTAATTCTTTTTAATCAGAACCAAAGTTTACCTTTGTGTTGGCGGTGGGAATTGCCGTGATGGCTTTATCGCTACCTTCTTCTGAGAGAAGGACGAGAGGTGAGGAGGGAGGCTGTAGCCTGGACATAAAGTGTAATTGCAGTCCTGTCTGTTCTAAATAATGCAATATTTAAATAATTTTCATATTATGTATTTTTATTTAGTATTTTGGTAGTTTTCAGTACAGTCAGCAAGGACTTTGTGAGGCGGGTCATGAGAGAACACGTACAGGAGTCCTCAGTTTAGGCAGAGCAACTCTTCTCACTCTCCTGCAAGGGTTAATGAATGCATCACATTTGTAAAAGCCTCTCTCTCTGTTTCACTTAGGGTTAGGAGCTGAAGATATTTTTTTCTCCTGTGAGGTATTTACCATGTACAAAGCAAATCGCTGAGCTTACCGCATTTAGCCTGACATTTCTTTTTTAACATTTTAACATTTTAAAAAGTGCTGTATAATACAGTTAAAGGGTTTACAGATATGAATAGATACGTGCATTCTTAGAGGCAACCACAAGGTAGCATGGTTTTCATAAAGAAACTGCCACTTCTTTCTTTAATTAGTTCAGAGAAAAAATTATACCCGAAGTTCTACCAGAGCCCCTCCAATAAAACAGGGCCATGAGCACGGGAGAGCCTGTTGATGCTGGTTTGTGTTTTACCCGCGCTCTGAGCTGTCTCTTGGAAGTGTTCAAGTTGCATTCCTCACGCGGCTCAGATCTGTTGCATACCTGTGTCACAGTCTGTCTCCTCACGCATCTACCAGTCGGAATAGGAAAACCTGATTTGTGCTTTTTTTTTTTTTTAATAGCTCTATTTTACAGACTAAAAATCCTTTAGGTTTGTAATTTGATTAAGCATCCATTAGGACGTTGCTCTACCTGAGGTACTGGTTATTCTCATGGAGATAGAAATGAAAATGTATTTATTCTTACAGTCTTAAAATGGTTAGGGAATTGCAATTATTTCCCAATGGAATGTCATATTATTAGGCCCTGGATTGTGTTGATAGATGATTTGGTTTTTTGTCTTTAAAAATAATTCATATAGATATGAATATGGGTTTATAAAAAGGCCTGAATGCATGTGTGTATATGCCTGCACGTATATGTTTATTTATTTATTTCTCTAAGTCCAACAGCAACAATGATAGCTGCCAACCAAACCCTAATTTACTGTCACCACAAACCCTAAATAGCATTCATTTACTAGTAAAGCCTAATGGCATACATGATGGTTTGCCAGATTTGTGGCCTTTGTGAGGCTTATAAGCAGGACTGACTTGGGAAGATCATAAAACTTAATGAACTTCTCGACTGCAGGAGGTGTCCGCAGGGGAAGAGAAAGGCCTGCTTGGCTTGTTGGGCTGGTTGAACTATTTTTTATGTCTAAAGAGAGAGGAGGAAAATGTTCATTAAGAACATTCTCCCCTTATGGAGAATTCTGTTTTAAAGAATGGGGAAAAAATATAAACTGATCTGAATCCTAAACAAACAGTGACGTTAACTATAGGGTTAATTTCTCACTGTTCCCCATGTAAGCTAAAACCTTTATTTTTATTGCTACAACTGTAAATAGCCATACGATGCCATTCTGATGATTAAAGGGCTGTATCTTGCCCTTACTTGCTGCAGAGCTCCTTATTGATGAAAATGGCCCAACTCTTTTAGGAACGCCCCTTGTCAATATGCTGCAAAATCTGTAAACTGCCTGTTAGGTAACTCGTTGGAGAAGGACTTGCTCCTTGCCTGCTCTGCCAGCAGGACTGGCAAATGTTAACCCCTTTCTTCACTGTGGTTAGCTCAAAATCGTGTCGCAGGACTCTTACCTTGCCTTAACACAAATTTCAACTTTCCAGTGTTTGTAAACTCTCATTTAGTGCCAACAACTTGCAATTGTAAAGAATAACACACAGTGCTAGGAGTCCTGTCGGAATGTGAAAGGATTCGAATGGAACAATGAAATGGCACTGAGAGCATACATACATACATACATACATATATATGTGTATGTGTGTCTGTATGCATGTTAGCTATATTCTAAAATCCAGCTGTGGTGTTACTGCTATTTGGATTAGCCAGTTTTAATATTTATGTGCAGTGGTGGTGGGTTTTTTTCAAGCTGCTAAATCCATAGCTTTGATTTAGCTTGGCTACTTAAGGAAGTAAGCATTGTGTGTTTATGTGCGTACATCTTCAGTTTAAATTGTTTAGCTTTTGTTTCCTTTCTTGTGCTTCAGAACCCAAGATTTTTCACTGAACCATTGCTTATGCTTTTTGAATGGTGGTTTTTTTTTTAATTGTCAGCAAATGCATTACAAATGACGATGTGCAGTAGAATGTTGGGTCATTTACATTGTCCTTATGCAGTGGCATTGCTTTTCTTCATAAATGTCCTGCTAGGAAAATATAAATTGAATTAAGTGTCTTGATTGTCTTTTGGTCATCTGTTTCAAGCACATTCATTATCAACATTCCATTTTCTTTGGTGGGTTTCTATCGAGGTGCTTCTCTGGTTAAGAGAACAGGCGGCTTTCGAGATTATTTTCATTAGAGAAATTCATGATACTTTGTCTTGCAGAACCTGTAACTACACCATACCGTTAGACCTTAACCATTGTTAGTGCTCTATTTAAATAACAATCTTCACGTTGATTATCACCATCAGTGTTTCCAGATCTTTTTATTGTGGGTTTTTTTTCCCTTCTCCGTAGAGAATAAATTTGGACCGACTTGTCAATACTAATTTAACTAGGAGCAGGGATTTATTTTATTTTATAGCTATTTTTCCTGGCCTTCATTTTATTCCTGAATTCAACACATTTGCTTATCTGAAAATACCAAATTATGTGAGATACTGTGTGGTGTATTCTAGGATGCTTGTTGTAAGTTAAGGAATTTTTGTGTTCGGAGATAAATTATTATAATAGTATGTAGTGAATGCAAAGGAGTTGTGGTGGTTTTTTTTTCCTACAGGATTTAACACATTTATCAAGCTCTATTCCTACAGCTTTCAATGAA